GTAGTCCTGTCGATGAGTAGTAGCCGGGTGTTTGACCAACAGCAGGAGGCAAGGAGATTGAGAGCTGGGCCGAGCTGCGTAGGCTGGGTCACTCCTGGGCTGGTCGGAGGTGATGGTGGCTACTGAAGGTAGAGACAGAGAGATGAAGGCAATAGTGGAACAGATAGGCGACTGAGCATTGACCTGCCTGGGAGGGGAGAGTGGAGCCACGGTCCGGAGGAACAGTCCATGGGGGGAACACAAAACAGTAGCTGGCTAGGGGATAAATACATACAAAACAACGAAAGAGCACGGAGAAAAAATGGCCTAGAGACTAGAACGAACTGGCAAGTGACTGAGGAGTGAAACTGGGTAATATAGTGAGCAACCTAATCAAGTGCTGCTGGTGATAAAGGAGTGAGGAACAGGTGAACGTGATTAGTGTAAATGGGCAAGAGACAGTAGGAAAGGAGAGGGAGGCCAGAGCAGCTGAGCAAACGTGACAGACTCATGCAAAACAAGGTACATAATGAAAAGAGCTAATTTTCTGGTGAACATGAATAGTTCAGTGACTTTCCATTGATAAAATCAGATGGAGGTGTTAGAGCAAAGGCGAGTGGGGTCACTGAAACATTGAGATTCATGGATATTAACTTCAGAATTTATGGCAATTGGGAGAGTATACCCTGATCTGGTCAAAAATCAGTGAATCTAATGGTTTTGAAAAGACCATTACAGGTAGGGCTAATGACCTACTTTAATGAGCATTGGATAATCTTTCATGGTAGAATAAACAAAACCTAAGATATAAAAATATTCCTTACTTTATGGCAAATTCCTTATCCAAAACGTAAGAGAAAAAGACAAAAATAGTGCCAAATTTGTCGGGTTTGCTCTGCTCCACCTGCCTCTCTCCCTCTCTCCCTCCTTTCTGCAGGCAATCTGTCTCAGGCGTGGCTCACACCTGTGCTGACCTACACAGCTGAGACTGCTTACCTATCAGCCACATGCTACTTAAGACTCAAGCAGAGGCTTCTCCAGTGCCAGTATGTTGTGGACTACTGCCAAAACACTTTGGCTCATAATACTGAAACCTTTCAGCTACTACAAAGACCTCTGACACCACATATCTTTGGGTCTCCTCCAGTTACCTCATCCTCGTCTCCCTGGACAGGTGTCATCCTTCTCAGGTCAGTCAGGCTGCCACCCTTCGGCTTCATTCATTCTTTGCTATCTTCCCTGTTGTTAGAACCTGCTGCCTCAGACCGCTACATTGAAGCTATTACTACATCCAAGCTACACTACGCCTCTCTTGCCTATCCTGCTGTCAAGATCTGAGACCTCAGCATTCCACACTCACCACCTCTCCTTGCTGTGAACCACCGGTGAATCTACTCCTCCTGTGTACTGACGATTCCCCGATCACTCAATCACCAGCCCCAAGATTCTGAACTATCATTATCATCTGCTGTTATTCTAAATAAACCACTTGTCTTGAACTGTGAGTCTGACTCCTGAGTCCAGCCTGTCTGCTCACTTTGTCTCTGCGAGTGAGCAATCCTAACAAAATGAGTCCACTAGTAAAGCTGCAAACCACACTACTCTGCTCCTGCAGTGAAGAAATCATTTTCACAGCACAGGTTTTGTCTTGTACTCATCTGATGGAGCTAGAGCAGTTCATATCTACAAAATATGCATGCCCTGCCTGAGCTAAAGTGTCGTGTGGTGTATAACCGAGTGAACATTTCCTTGTCATCTTGAGACATACCAGGCTTTTCTGCACTGGCTATGACAAACCCAAACCCTTGATAGTGTTAATTTAAAATCCTGGACTAATCTGAGATATTCCTGTGTGCATGGGGGAAAAAAAAAATTCTAAATGAGTAGGTCATTTCACAATTTGAAGGAACTGGCACAACTAGCTTTGTTTCCTTAGTGCTCAAGTTTCCCAAAGATTATTTGAAACTGTGCCATTGTTTCATATGAGCCTATATTTCACAGTAAATGCATGTCTGAAATAGATTATGGTGTGCAGCTGGTAAGCAGGACAGTATAGGTCCTTGTGAGGTGGTTGCCATGACCACTTCATGTCACAATGCGGGTGTTTCAAGCCTCATTTTGTGTAACCTGATGTCTTAAATTTATAATAGGCTATGTTTTCTGTCTGAAATATAGATCTATTTAGATTGAATCCCTCTGGTGTTTTGTAGCACATGCACAAATCTGACAGTCCTGCATTGCTTGTATAAAAGTATGCGGTACATTGTGTGTATTCTGGATGAGACATATCGACCTAAACCATTATCTACATTATTATCCCCAAATTACTGTGACTTTTTTTTTTTTTAAATACCTGTCTTTACTGAATCCCTTACAGATTTCAGTTCCCTACTCTTTTTTTTTTCTGTTTTAATCTTCCATTCAGCGATATGACCAGTTGCCATGGAAACTGCCTTCGCCCACTCCTTGTTGATGGAGGGTGCGGCTGCTGCAGCAATCTCTCAGTTAAGACAGTGTTGCCAGGCAACAGGTCACATGGTGTTCCCTAGCAACAACACTACTGCAGGAACCTGCCAATTCTCTTAACCTTTCTCCATCCCCCCACACCTTGGTTTTTTTCTCCACCCCCCATTTATGTCTCCTCTGCACTTCTCCAAAATTGCTTGGAATGCTACTGGGTCTCTTTTTTTTTATAGCACTCTATTATAACTGATAATATCTTTTCTCTTCTCTCCATTGCATTAGACAAATGTCTCCATCGCGCAGTGGGTCGCTTACATAAACAGTTTGAGGGTGCTGCATTTAGATGCATAACAGCATCTTGGACATCTTCACTGTGGTAACAGTTCAGCGCAGACATCATAATGTGTCACAAAAAAGGTTTCACTCCTTCAGACAGCAAAGAGGATCAACCTGCAATCCAGTACATGGCTGTGCCTTACAACTGAGCCATTATTCCATAATACAACAATGCCCTGATACAGTAGCTCTGCAGTACACTGTGCACTCAGTTTAAAGACAGTATTTGAGTTTTAACACAACCCTCCATCTGTTTTAAAAAGATAGATTTCACTGCTGTGGCACAGAGAAACCGAGAACAGCTTGTCTCTCAGACAAACTCTCAGCATTGTTTTCCACAAGTGAAACACCTTCACATATACGTTACCTGACAGACACTAAGACATAATCTGTCACTGACTTGTCAAGTGACTGACTGTGCTGCCACCCTTCCCCTCCAGTAGCTATGTTCTAATTCCTGTAGCTAGACAGAAAATCAATGAATGAATCTGGGCTGAAGGAATGGGGGAAATTACAAAGCTCCAGACAATGTCTCAAAACCTTAGTTACAAATGTATTCCAGTCGACAGACTAAAGATGCACAACATATTTCTGTGCTTCGTAACATACAGTAGTTCTCCCGGTTTTTCTTACTTAGCAGCTCTATGCTCATTAGGTTTCTGTGAATAATAAAGCACAGGTTTTCAAGGCCAGATCTATTTACACTCATGTTCTGTTGCTACACATTTTCAATGTTGCCACCCACTCATGACAATTTTTTTATTAAAACAGTTGCCTTTTATAATCTGTAGCTCTGTGTGTTCCTAGGTGCTGGAGTGGTAGAATGCAATTGTTTATTTGTGGCTTTGCATAAGGGTCCCAGGCAACTCAGCTCTCCATGAACACTGGAATTCAAGATCACGCAGTTTTTCAGTTCTGTCAAATCTCAGCTAAGCTAACCATCTCAGATGACTGACTATAAAGACCAAAAGTAGGGGGAATCATCTAGCTTGTCCCTGCCTAAAAGTTTTTTTTTTTTTAATCAGCCTGCTAAAACCTCAAGTGCTAATTTAATAACAGCACAGTATTTCATGTTTCTTTAATACATGCAAACTTAGCCCTTTGACACGTTTTTTGTGCATTAAACACCATGGGCTCTATTTTCCTGTAACATGGCACACTGCTAAACGCATATCTATCTTTCCAGGAGCAAGGTACATATGGGCATGTTCAACAATGTTTTGTGATTTTAGTAACCACAGATGCAGCACACTTCTGTGCTCAGCCAGGCCTTAGCAGGCACACTGTAACGGTCCACAGAGGCTGACCCTCAAGGTGCTTTTATCCAGTACTGACTACACTTCCACTCACCTGCAGCACTAGAAACAGTGGGCCAGTTCTGGACGAGCATCCCCTGGGCTCCCTGCATCACAGAGGCCTCCTCCATGCGAACCGAACTGAAAGACACATTCAGCAAAGTCAGAGACACAACAAAGCGATATTTACTACTAACCCTAGCTAATAATTATTTCCTCCTTAAAGAAGTTTTCAGGTGTTCCTTGACAGCCCACTACAGATATTTTCAAAACCTTGTCTGAAATGCTAATCGAACACAAAAAGGCTTACAATGTCCAAAGTATTAGCCACTGCTTAAGACCTTGAAAGCAACAGTTGCCTAGTCATACCTTCACACATTTCTTATGGTCTTGTTGCTTGTGGCAACCATTTTCCATTTTTCTTATTGTAATAACAGAATATTTCACCATCTGTGTAAAATCCTCTGCCTTAAAACAATGTGACAATCTGTGTTCTACCCTGAAAATAAAGCAACTGAACGCACTTCATCGATCAGTAAATTAATTATTTACTCCTGCACTTTTCCTGTTGTGACATGTCAAAATGCCTTTGAAAAAAAAAAACACACCTATGTTGCACTTCAGAAAACCAATACACAAAATTGTCTATGCTGTGGAAAGATGCTATGCTTTGTTAACTCGGGCAATCAAAAGCAAGTGTCTGGTTGCCTGGCGGCCATTTCTAATACGCATATGTCAAGGCCTGTTTTTGTACAGCTAATGAGAAATCTGGCTATAATGAGAGCTCCAGGGACAGGTCAAAGAATATAAATTATTGGCTAAGATAGAAGTTCGTACAGTACTTGATTACTGCTTGAAATCAGAAAACTGTGCTTTTTGTCATTTGATTCCTTTTAAAAATTGTAGAGAGAAGAAAAGCAGATGCCACTAAGTAATAAAGAAAATGGAAATGGTGTCAGCTGCAAATACAGGTATTAAATATGGTCACACACAGGATGGCATGGTGTAAGGAGATATTCACCTTAATGGAAATCCACCATTAGTGTTGTACCTTCCTGCCAATGCTTTATTCACGAACATAGTGTATGTTTTGTGAGCCACCTTCACTTTTTTGAATGTCAGCTTTCAAGTCTGGCTTTCATCTAAATGGCAATCAACATACTGTATACACAATGTTCTTTTTTTTGTGAACATACTTTGCATATTTAATTGGGAAACAGAACATGTTTAATGTTATTAATGGAATGCTGTAAGTGTTTTCAGATGAACTACATAGATTACTGTAATTATATTTCAATGTATGGTAATTCTGAGTGTAAAGGCTAGGACAGTGCTACCACACCCAGTGTGTGAAAATATTAAAAATTCACAGTACAAGCTCAAATTTGAGTTTTGCAACTTTCAGTTGTTTATTTTTTAAGCCTAGATGAGGTACTCTACTGAACTCTAGAGGAAACAAACTAAGAGATGGTAACACAGAAACAATTTCTTCTAACTTGTCTGTTAAGGTTCACTTTGTGTCTCTTACTAGAAAACCATTAACTGTAATTGCATAATTGAACACATTAATAAAAGTTGTATTTTATACTGTATATCCCTAGTAGCATACAATATTCTTAGTAATATCCTAATGAAAAAAAAACATGCTCTGCAGGTTGTTGGTTGTCTGGCAGCCTCCTAGCCAGGCTAGCTTTCAATTTCCAAATTCTCATAATGTAATAAACACTCAAAGACAAGGCAGGCATGCAGTTTCCAACCTCGGCTGAGCTCTTCCCCTTTATACAATCATAATGAATGTATAGCAGGAGCTACTCTGACCAGGGCCTCTGCAATGCAGCATATCCAGCATCTACTTTAAACTGCAACACACTTGTTATGTCGGAATAGGAACTTGAATATAAAATGACCATGTACATTCAGAGCAGTTGTGACTTCCAAGATTTATATAAGCAGAGGTGATTTTAATGTGTGAGAATATGACAAAGACGGGTCAATAATGTTGATAAGCTGTGTGCAGTGTGAGACATTGCAGCATGCATGTTAGCATTAAGTGTTAATGTGAGCTGTCTGTGTCTGTGTGTGAGACAGGCACTGCCATTTTAGAGATGACAGTGGCAAATTGCAGCAATGATTTATGTTAATGCATGTCATGTCACAGTGACTTGACAACATGATACACATTATGATACCCTCCGCACCATAGAAATTAACACTAATATCCAATTAAATCAAACTTAGACAGCGCAGAAGACTTCACAACCAAGCAGGAAGCATTATTAGCATGAAACTATGAAAAATCTGTACAAAGTGTAGACATGTGGAGGGAAAACTCATGACTCCCTGATGTACCTGCATATCAAATTAGCAAAACACTGTGTCACTGTGCAAAACAAACAAACTAAACATAACATTATTACAGTTGTGATTGTATCTTTTCAGCATGCTTGGATTTGCAGAAGGTAGCTAATGAGAACGTTTATGTTTTACATATATAGTACATCACTGCTCAGTAGTTGAGAATATACACATGAACAAGCAAACAAAAAACTCATCCATGTACTGTATAAAATCATACCTCACTGCTACTAATGCAGCCTGGTTTCAGTGTAATATTTGGTAGATATTGTGCATCTCATCTTTGGACTTAGAATTAGACTGCAATTAGAATTGTGTCATGTAATAAGGCCTTACAAAACAACAGCTGGAAAACAGAGTCTATTCAAATATACCCAGTGAGTCAGTAAGTATGACGGGGTCTAGAAAGTCCTCTACTGTCTGTATTCACAATGTCTCCTCTCATCTATAGACAAAAATACATAAATGCACACAGAAAGGCACATGTGTGCATGGAGGGCAGCTGCACATACAGACACTGATGCATGTGTGCACCTGATAATCTGGGAAAGGTCACACTCAGCTCATTTGTCCTTTATGCTTCCTGATAAAAGACTGTAACTGAGGTAAGCAGCACTCAGAATGTACTGTAGATGACCTATATAGTATTACGCTGTAGAGGAGCAGTGCTCTGCATCCAGTGATGGGAGCTGCTTGTCCCTAAAGAAGAGGATGGAGATCAGGTTTGAACAGATGCTGAGGGGCCATTAGCTGTCATTTTACATAATGACGGATACTAATCTGAAGTGTTATGTTGAAGAGTCTTTTTGTTTTTGTATGTGTCAGTGGTAAAAAGCATCATGTAGGGTTAGTGTAGTGGTGGCACACACTACATGTAGACGGTATGCTGAGAAAAATGAATCAGTGTAAGTTTTTCCAGATGATCAAAGATGAAAAAGAGTTAAAGAAGGAACATGCTTACCTCTGCACCCCTGCCCTCAAAGATGCAGAATATCGCCAGTCAGCATTCTGGGCTTTTGGCTGAGCGAGCAAGCAAGCAAGAGAGAGACAGAGAGAGAGAGAAAGATAGGAGGAAGAGAGTGAATTTAGCTTGATCTCATACAGTGCAGAGCCATAGTCTCATCAATTAATCATGATACACATCCCATCTCTGGATGTGGTAGGAACACTGCAGTCATATCTCCCATTGCAGACACACAAACACACACACACACACGCACACACACACACACACACACACACACACACACACACACAGACATATTACTATCTACACAAGGACGTTAACAAGGGCAGTGACTGAAACCCATATCAATGAGTTTTTGGACAATCTCTCACTCCGTGGCTCTATAAATGTGAGAGCAGGGAGGTTGATGCCCTTTTCTTGAGTGCTGGGGTGTTTGTACAGTCTGATGTGTAACCAGAGGAAATCTGTCTTCTCCTGATGAACCTGGACTTAGTGCTTGAAATTGTCAGCATCCCTCTAGTAAACACATGTGATCTGTGTTATATCAGTGTAAAGAGCAATCATATACAAATACTGTATCATAAATGTGTAGATTTTATTATAAGACCATATACATACTCAGTTATCACAGTCTTGTATTAACTGATTTCACCTCCCTTTCTTTTCCTATTTATCAATTTACTTGATTCTGTTTCTGAAGATTGAGCATGGCATCCAAAACCTGGTTATAATTACACTGAAACATCACTACTTTGTTTGAATTAAAATGGACTATCTGCCAAAAAGACTTGTTGTTGTTAAATACGGTGAATGTTAAATTTATGTTAAATTACCCTGCACTGGTTGTAATAGTGTTGAGTGATTTATAGTTTTTAGAATGGGGATTTTCAACATGTGGAGGCTTCCTATCCATTTACCCTTGATAATAGCCAAAATTTGCTGATAACTGTTTTCAAGTTCAAAAACCATATGACTCTCATAAAGGGGAAAGCCATATTTAACGAGCCTATCTTTTATGCCCATTAATTACTGTAGGCCTGACCCTTTCTTAATTATTCTCTACATGGATAGGTACTGTGCACATGCACTGCATGAAATTACCGTGAACACTGTACAACAACTAAATCATGTGGGTTGCAGCTGTAGATCTCAACACTGAAAAAGAAACTGAGTTTAAGCCATAGACTTGCTCAGGCAACAGCAAGCGTCCCAGATGAAGATGACACTTTATGTTGCTCATTTGAATTCAGAGGGGGAGAATTTTCTGCTGTAGTTCCAACCTCTTTCACTAAATCTAATTTGCAAAGCTGGGGAACAGAGGCTGGAGGTAAATTTAATTTACACTGCTGTACCTGTCCTGGTTAAGAGTTTCTCCTTGTACAACTCAAGTGCCAGAACTGGCACCTGATAATTAGGATGATGCATCCAGAGGTAAACTCCTCACCTTAGGAGCCTTTGTAGCAAAACACTGTCGCAATGCAATTACTGATACTGATACTGATATATAATACTATTCCAGTATTTTAATTGTCCTCCATCAACTAATCTCTCCTGCAACCTAGCTGGTAAATGCATTCACTGTTCCACTCATCTACAGTAGAAGTCATAACAGATTAATGGACTACTAACGGACTTACTTTCACTCACACACAGCCGCCCACACACACACACAAGTCAGCACAAGTTAAACCCACATCCAGAGAGAACGAGCAAGTAGTGAAGAGTGCATGACCTGTTGCTGGCGTAGATGTGATGACAAGCTCAAACTGAAACACAAATATCTGAATCATCAGAAATAACCCTTGAAAAGCACCAGGACTGACACTAATGCAGTGTGAGTGCTGAACTGGATTGGGCTGGGTGGCGGCACAGTGCAAGTAGGAACTGAACAAAGGGAATGAGGCCTGAAAAAATGCATTTGATTGCAAGAGGGGATCACACTTGACATAGAGGAATATGTGGCCCTGCGGCAACAAATAACAGATAAGAACGCATACTGTAACAGTAATGTTAATGAAATGGCATGTTTGGTATGTACTTAAAAAGGTCTTATATTGTTTGCAACTATGTGAAATTTCATTAAAAAACAAAGCCACTAACATGTAAACATGCTGATTCATGGCCGGGTTATGCAGACACAGGTAAACATAAAAAATAATGATGTACCTCTGGGCAGATTTGCAGTGAGGCATCAGGCATACTCAGTCTGCGTACAAATCCACTTCCACTGGTGAAGAAGCGGTCCGCACCGCTGCCCCAGGTGCCACTGATTGGACGTCCTGTGTTGTAGAACATGAAAGTGTCACTGCCAGAGGTAGCTGTCAGGCAGGTCTTGTAGCAGTAAGTCTTTGTTAGTGAGCCATTCCCACGCACTTCGATGTAATGAGGCTCCACTTTAAGGTCTCTCCGTAGCACCACATTGTTATTTGGTTGTGCCCCGGCTGCACCACTGCCTCCCCCACCAGCACTTACACTGCTGCTCCCACCATCTGGAGGGGGCTTCTGTGACACACAGCAAGGGGAGCAAGACCCAGGCTGGGTGCAGTAGGCGTGACAGCGGACAATGGCCAGCACCACCACAGTTACCAGGAAAACAAAGGTGGTGGCACTCAAAGCCACAATCAAATAGAGGGTCACATTGGAGAAAAGCAGTGTGCTGTGAGGTCGGATGATCCTCTTGGGATCAGAAACCACTTTAGGTGGAACCTCCATGACAGCCACATTGATGGTGGCGGTGGAGGAGAGAGTAGGCTGCCCATGGTCCTTCACCAAGACAGTTAGGGTAAAAGAGGTGGAGTTGTCCTCCAGGATCCTCCGAGTGGTTCTGATCTCACCGGTGTGTTCGTGGACTTTGAACAAGTCCAGGTCAGTGGCAGTCTCTAGCACATACACCAGCCAGGCATTTGGACCAGCATCTGCATCATATGCTACCACTTTGGTCACCAAGGCACCAGGCTCTGCATTTTTTTGCACAGTCTCCAGTGAGCGTGTGCCATTGCCGGGAGGACTGACTATCAGCGGTGCATGGTCATTCTGATCCATTATGTAGATGTACACAGTGGCGACGCGGCTGAGTGGAGGAATGCCCCCATCTTGGGCTTTGACCTGGAAGTGAAACTCTCTCAGTGATTCATAGTCAAAGGCTCTCAGGGCGTAAGCCTCCCCTGTATCGGCCTTCACAGACACATACGAGGTGACAGGGATGCCATGATTATTGTCATTGAGCACTGTGTAGGTGATACGTGCATTCTCTTTGATGTCCGCATCTTGAGCTTTCACAGTACACAAAGAGGCACCGGGGGCATTGTTCTCAGCTACATAGACTGTATAAGAAGTCTGCTCAAACCGTGGTGGGTTGTCATTAACATCAGCCACATCCACCTGTATGGTCTTCTGAGAGGATAGGGGAGGATTTCCTCCATCTGTGGCACTCAGAGTGACATTGTAGGCATCGGTGGTCTCGCGGTCCAGGAAGGCTGAGGTAACCAGAGTGTAGTAATTTCTGAATGACTTGATCTTGAACGGAAGGCCTGCTGGGATCTCTAAGCTCACCTGCTTGTTAGCTCCAGAGTCTCGATCAGTAACACTAATGAGAGCCACAACTGTGTCTGCACGGGCATCCTCCCTCACAGGGCTCGACAGAGATGACAGCACTATCTGAGGGACATTGTCATTCACATCCACCACCTCTACCACTACCTTACAGTGTGCTGCCACAGCTCCAGGTCCCTTATCCATTGCCTGAATGTACATCTCATAGGAGTTGGTCTCTTCATAGTCAACATTGCTCCTCACTCTTATTTCTCCTGTATTTGTGTCCATGCTGAACATCTGTCTCACTCTCTCTGGAGTGTAGCTGCTGAAAGAGTAATAAACTTCTCCATTTGTGCCCTCATCCAGATCAGTTGCATTCAGCTTAATTACCAGGGTGTCTTTGGGGGAATTTTCCAACAATTTTACCTTGTACACTGAGCTGTCAAACAAAGGAACATTGTCATTTGAGTCCAAGACACGGACATTAATTTTAGCCGTGCCTGTTTTCTCTGGTGTCCCACCATCCACAGCACTTAGAATTAATTGGTGGTAAGGCGTCTGTTCACGGTCAAGGGGCTTTTTGAGCACAAGCTCGATGTGCTTTATGTTTAGGGAGGGTTTGTTAGATACCAGCGCAAAATGGTCGTTTGTGCTAAGCTGATATATGCGAACTGAATTGGACCCAATGTCTGGGTCCTGAGCGTTTTCAATTGGGTAACGAGACCCCGGTAAAGCAGATTCTGAGATTTCTAGTTGATACTCGTCCCTGGGGAACTGCGGCGCATTATCATTGGCATCCACAATCTCCACCTCGACATGATGTACCTCAGTGGGGTTTTCGACCAACACCTCCAGATTAAGGAGGCAGGTGCTAGATAAATCGCACAGTACCTCCCTGTCGATCCTTTCATTGACAAGCAATTTCCCATTTTTGGGGTTGACAAACACATAGCGTTTACCGCTGTTGGAGGTTACCTTAATTTTTCGGGTGGCGAGCTTTCGAATATCCAGCCCCAAGTCATGCGCCAGATCACCGACCAGTGCCCCATTTTCCAGTTCCTCTGTAATAGAATACCGCAATTGTCCAAACGAAAGGCCACAAAATACGAAAAACGTCACAAAATAAAAAGGCACATTATTCCCTATCCAATTGCATATCCCCGCCACAGCCATTGCAAGCTTATAGGATCCGCAGACGGATTAAACGCAGCCTTCCGCCTTTTTAGCTTGCAGTATCTTGCATCCCAGCACCTCATTAAGGTGGGCTAATTGGTCTCCCGCTAAATGAAACAGAAGCAGCTCATCCATTCTGTTACCCGGCTGAGGTGAATCCTCTCCAGCGCACCCATATTTCCTTTGTCCGAGATGCGCCTTTTTTGTCTCCAGTGCGCGCTCCACACGGGTGTGTTTCCCAACCACTAGAGCTGTGACACCCGTCAGGACTGTGGAAATTTGTCACGGCGATACCGGAACAGCAGAGTGTACACTTCAAAATAAAATAGTAACACGGTCGGTCGTTTTCTTCATCAACTGTAGTTGTAGTACTAGTAGATTGGAAAGGTCCCTCTAGTTAATTATGTTATGCGCAAAAGTAAATGGCGGTTAGTCGTAGTTTCTCGAAGCTTCATTAAATCTTAACTTGTGTGTGTCTGTGTCATCAGGTTTTTAACTGTTTGGTCATTAGGCTATTTAGAATAAAACCCCTTATTTTAACTGCATCAATGTTGCATTTAGTTTAGTTGAAATATGCATAAACAATTGATCACGAATGTCCTGTGCATCTAAAAATGTAAATAACTCTGCATGCTTATTTAGGCTATCGAGGATTTATAGCATGTGAGTAACAGGAAACCGTGTATTCTATTGTAGCTAACTTGACCTTGGAGGCACCGTATCCCAACCCAGCGCGCACTCAGACTCCAGCTCTCTCCTCTGAGCTGTGGCGCAGCTCTCCTCCTATACCTCCCCACCCATTTCTCCCCTTCCTCCTTACTTTCCTCTCATCCCTCCATTTCCATGTCTGTGTAGGGTTTGGGAGCTAATAGACGATCAACAATTGAATGCATCGCCACAGAATGGCGACCAAAGAAAACAGCCATAAGAATAAACATGTAGCGACACCAGCCATTCATTCTATAAACCAGAATCACTGTGCACAACTAAAAAAATACAAATAAAAAATAGAATTATCTAAGGTGAGCTATGACCTGGGGATCTGGCTAATACATTTAATTCACCGGATTCACTACGTTCACTTGCTCATGGTTAGGGCTACAGTATATATTCAACATCACCACCTCCCAGAAATTGAAGCTGGAAAGAAAAACGCTGTAACAAACATATAGACACAGGCTTGGGGACTCGCTTATGTTTGTCCTCCTTTGTCAGTGTTGGAGTCATCATTGAGAGCCGCTGTACCAGAGTCAAATTCCTCATGTGTCCGACACATCTGGCCAATAAAACAGATTCTGATTCTGATTCTATTATCCAGCTGACTGCATAGATTAGCCAAAGGAGTCATCGTGGCTCTGCTCTATTTGATGCATTCAGCCAGTGGTCTATTCTGCTCAAGGCTAACAGGACAGCTTCACCCTGCCAGCTGTTGTGACCGACTTTGCTGGTCTGTTTTGGATGAATTTCTTAGACCTTAGCTTCAGTCTAAAATAACTATCTTGACTTTCATTGTAAAATGTCTGTGCTGTCTCTATACTTTTAGTGAATTTGCTGCTTAAATTAAGGGTCTTTTTACAGCTACTGTTCCATGTTATTCAGATCACAGCTATGAGTCCCATATTCAGTGACATCCCTTCAGTTTTCTTTTTGGTACATTAAACCATGACTGCTAATTCATTCACTGTCTGATTGCTGTTATCTCTGGGCTCTACATCAACTTTTACACAAAAGAGCTGTGGTGACTCACCTAGCAACCCTTATTGTTCTTATTTTTTATGATTTACTTGCTTTTTTATTATGTGAAAGAATTATTAAATATAATTCATAAAGGGACATTAAGCTATTTGCTGCAAAGTTAACTATTAAAATAAAACAGACAGTCTCTAAGAATGTACACATCTGTATGTATTTTTGTATTTGCTACATTTTTTGGAGGCACTGTTATTTGTATCAACAATGTTGACAATTTAACTCTATCAGAAATACCTTCAGATTACCTTTCCAAGATGCAATGCTGTAGTCACACTAGACAGCTATTGTTACTATCATGGTGCATTTTAATGAGGGTGGTGGAAAATGCTGTCTTAGGCTTTAAAATGCTCTAATTGAGATGTGGGTTGTGGTTTGGATCACTTTAATGGTCATCAAACCATTCAGGGAGCACTTACAGCAAGTGGATGGCAACATCACACTGACATTAGTGCATGAACTGCTTTACAGTGTGGACTTTAACCATGTTATGATACAGCACAGCCATCAAAATGTTATACTATATATTCATCAGCACCAATATTTGCTTATTTTGAGCATGGGGAGGGGAACTTGTCCCAGCATGCAATGGGTGAGAAACTGTGAAATCAGGCAGGTCATCAATACCCATAGACAATCAAATTCACACCTGTGAGTAACTGAAATGTTCCAGTTCTCCCGCAGGGACCTGGGAACAACATCAGTGTGGGAACATTTGCTTCTGTATCTCTTGTGTTATGTTTTAGTTTTAGATACTAGCTGTAGAGTTGAAGGGGTAATATCCTTGAAGTTCAGTTTATAGTGACTGAAAATGAACACTGTAAGGAGGCACACGTCGTTTGCTTACTCCTCCACCATCTATATTGACAAATACGGCCTCTGTGATTGTTTAGTTTGTGTTAGTCTATATTCTGCACACAATCAGCAGTCGTTTCCGTGTCCATTAGACCAATATCATAGTTGCCTTCGTGATATATTCTATAGAGAGGAAAAGAGACTTCTGCTTTATGGGGTCTTTCACGGGCATCCGAAATATGATTATGTGACCTACAGTCTGGGGTCTGCCAACGACAGGGATCCATGTAGAGGGCAGGTTGTAAATTATAATTCATTTCATAAAAAAACCGAAACATGTATATATTAACCTCTGAATACAATTAACCTATCCCCTTACCCAAGAAACAGCCATAACCAAGTATAACATCAGATTCCTGGGTAGATATTTTTTGGGTAAATGATTGCACCTGCTATCAGAAGTATTAACATTTCTACTTCAGTCAATGTATATATATCCCCATGCAAGGGCAAGTAAACAGTAAACCAACATAAGGCTGTGTAATATAACAAAATAAACAGTATTAAAATAAACAGTATTAACAATACTGTCATAATAACACTTCTATATTAAATGTTTTACCTCACAAAACTTGAATGCATATCAAATAAAAGCACAACTATGTTAATGAATAAGAGCAAAACTTAAATAAACAAATAAATAAATAACTTGCCATTCTGTATGTGTTGATGGGAACTGGATCAGGCACATAGTGTTTAAGTCTGGGAGAAACAGCCACTGGTATGCTGTTAAGCTTGGCTTCTAAATTTACCACACACACACACAGACTGCTAAACAGATACAACATGTAAAAAAAGATTTGTTGCATTTAAAGAATTTGAAATGACAAAATATGTATGTCCATTCAAAACATACAATGCTGATTGTTCACCTGCCTGGCTATAGGAACCATTTTAGATTTGTTGCATAAGACTCAGAAAATTATGTTTCCATAGCAACAGCAACTTGATGAAGGTTTCAGTGCCAGCTGTGAATGTTAGGTATTCAAAAGAAAAAAGAATGCCGTGATGCTCCTTTGTCTTTATATTCTTTATTCAAATCTGCATTTTAATAAGAGTTGAGTTAGGGTTATTTGTATTCTGACCTCTGTTCAAACCACACACTAGTGGGTTCTTGCTACAGACCTCTTCGCCTTACCTCCTCACTTCCTTTGAACTGCAAACCAAAGCTCTATGTGACAGCACTCAGGACCCCATCGTGAATGGGCTCCAGCCAGGGTAACGTCTCTGCTGATGTGACTCACTCATACTGTACAAATGGGTCAAGCGTCTCACAGCCTGTCTCACACTTTGATAGTGTTGCAATACTAATAACAGCATGGGTTTATTAAGTAAAATAACACCCATAGGTAAAAGTGGTCATTTGACTGCTTTTGCCCTAAACCAATAATGTATGCATTTCTGTTGCAGTGGAGTCCTCAGAGATGGAACAACCTCTGTAACTGCATGTGCAGTGAGTGTGTTCTGTGACCAACATGACTTGTATTGTACATTTGCAGACAGTTGCACTGATAAACCTCTCTAACAGGCAAAATTGCTCTGACATAATTACCCCAGAATTTTAGAAGCTATTCCAAGAAAAAAATAATCCTTTCAAAATGGCTGTGATTAGAACGTGTTAATATTGTACCTCAATCCTTTTGTCACTCAGAATGACACATCACCAACCCCACATCCTCCATACACTCTAGGCTCCGCCCGCAGGCAGGGATCATCATCTGTTAAAAAGCCTCCGCATGCTCAAGCTGAAATTGCCTGTTGCCATCTGCAACCTTCAGGAAAATGGCCTCAAAATACTATATACATCTGTTAAGGATACAAGCCAACATTACAAGAAATGATACAAAAAAAGACTAACATTAAGATTCACATTGGTAAGTCTGTTAATGCAAATACATGCACTGAAACAATTTAAAATTGGCCTTCATGAATATAAAGGCTGAATCTATACAAGACTGAGCAAATCCACATAGTCTCTTTAAAATATTCTTCAGTGGCTTGTGCCCATCTCTGAAACATTTTAATATTCTAATCCAGTACACTTACTGGATCGATACCCTGCATTCAACCAGTCTAGCTCATTGCTAACAAAAGCAGGTCTCTGACTGTAAAGGAGGGAGAACTGAACAATATTTAAAATGAAACCCAAAGACCAGGAATGAAAGCACTGCTGAAATGCTGATGATGTATAATTAGGTGGTATACCTGCACACCACTTCACAACCGCAAATAATCATCTGATAAATCATATACATATACTTATACTTGTGCTTATACTTATACTTACTGTGGAGAAAAGAACTGTTTCAGTGCTGCTGCTTTTCTGTGACACAGTCATGTGAAAAAATTAGGACACCCTTTGAAAGCATGTGTGCTATGGGGGCTAGGGTGTGCTATCTTTTTCCTCAGTTAGAATAGGCATTTTTGTAGAATTACATTTACAGAAGATCTTGAAAATACTTTTCTTTTAGTTTTATTATCTCTCTGTATTGTTAAAATTGAGATTAAATAACCATATATTAAAAAAGTTACAAATTCACATGCTTTCAAAGGGTGTTCTAATTTTTTCACATGACTGTAAGTGCACTGTGGAAACAATCAAAAGTTACATAAGCTCTTGTCGCCACCTAACAAAAACATTTGCTGGTCAGTAAACTAGTAAAAAGTGCCCTGCTGCAACCCAGTGCAAAAGTGCTTTCTCACAGCTACACTTTGAGTGCTACTTCTGAAAACATAAACCATTGCGAATGAGAAATGATGGTCAGTATTTGACCAACACTCAGCACACAAATGTAGCCAAAGGTGCACTGCTGAAATTAACCAGTGACCTACTTCTGATTCTTATAAAGCACAAGTCACCAGTCAATATAGCATTGCCAGGTCTGTGTGTTAGTGTTGAAGTGACCATTAGTTTAACACCTTTCTGACATATATGTTTTAAATGTCACTTTTACTGGATTACCACTGCAGTATATCTCTGTATCATTTATCACTTAGGTCTACTATTGGAAATAGAAATTGCAGTGCAGTGAAAACCAGGAGTACTGTATACAGAAAAACTGGTCAACACTCTGGTATCATACATAGTACTTGTGTTTCAAGCAACAATTAGTGATAATACATCATTTTAAAATCTTTTATAAGACAGACAGAACATTGATTATAATGCCAACACTAATCTATCATATAAATTCATGGGCCTTACAGATCAGTTTTATTTAGGACTGCACACTGGAGGTCCTGTGTGGTCACGGTGAAGAGCAGACTATACAATTTGGGTCTAGGCTTTTATTAATCCTGGCAAAGCTATTATTTGTCTGCTTCTGCAATGTGAACAGCTTTATAGAGTTTTCAATTTCCAAGAATTAGTAGTTTTATGCAGGGAAACTGGGTCAACATGTATGTTTTTGTGTGTCAGAGAGAGAGAGAGAGAGAGAAAGAGCAAGCAAGAGAGCAAGAGCATGTGTTATATCCAAAGGTCTTACCAGTTTAGGTAAATTCACATTCATTTTTCATGGACACAACAAAGAGACAGATTAAAAAGCTTTATTCAAACTAACAGGATCAAGCTGAATATTTAAGCCAAAAAGCAACTTCAAAATCCAACAATTAGCTATACTTGAAAATAAAGCAAGGCTGTTCTCTCCCATACTATCTCTGATCCACTAAGTGGAATGGAACTGGATTACAACTGATTACATCTCAAAGCATACTGTACAATCTGACTGGCAAATTAGCAGAGGAAAAACTGAGCCGTGTAGACAGATGAGAAATAATACACTTTTACTATACCAAGCACAAGCACCTGCTGTGCCATTCAATCACAGTGAGTACAGAAAATAGATTAAAAAAAACCTATAAAAAACACAAAGTATAAAGCAGTTCAGTTTATGTTAAATGCATCTAATGGGTCTAAAGAGAACATCTCTTCTGAAAGCCCCTGTTTCATCAACGCCTAAACAATTCATGGTGGTATTTTATCATGAGGCTAAGTGTACTTTGTAACACTGTATGTAATGCCATCTTTTTTCATTCATCAACAACATCACATATATCTTTTGTGAATCCAGAAGGCACACAAGGAGCATCACATGTGCAGTTTATTCATTCTTGAAACACTGTGGGAATCCAACCTGTTCAGGCATTGATTGCAGCTACAACATGTACTCAACAGCAAGAGATCCCTCATCAAGTGACATCTTCAGTCTAAGAGACAGGCAGCCAGTCTCTCTTAGCAGCTGGTGTAACAGTGAGAGAGGAAACGAGAGGTTAGATTTCACTGACTCAGAATATGTAGCTTGATACATCCAGAAATATTCCATCTTCTCTGCATTACTGAGTGAGTGCTGCCATCACTGGTGTCATCTGCCTAATACTTTTAATGCACCAGTGGTTAGTAGTATAAATACCACTGTGCTCTCCTTCTTCCATTCCAATTTCCTTACCTCACCCAATTACATAGGATAATTTAGCACCCTAATGAGCATTCACATTAAGCTCCTTGTTTCTGAGAAATTAAAGTCCTGGGTGTCACAGTAGTGCAACAGCACAACCTTCGAGGTCAAGAAAAGCACTCTTGTTTCAGTTTAAGTACACTATCAAAACAACTCCATAAGCACTAAACTACAAATAAGCAACACAAAATGCCATAGAAGATTCTCACAAAAGCAGCATTAAAAGTTAGTACATAAAATATCAATAAAAAACATGAATATTCATAAAACAACACCTTGTTTGCACCGTATATTGTCTTGCACCATGGCAAAGGTAAATACGTTTTAGTGTTCATACTCTCTTCAATAAAAAGTATTTATCATTACAAAATACAGAGATTTTTTTTTCTTTTTTTTTATTTGCACTGTCATCGTATTTTTAATTGATTATTACAGTTTGCTCTTTGTGTAAAGACTCAATCCAGTTTATATTTGAACTGTCAGTTTTATAAGCCTGGGAACCATCAGTCTGAATCAACTGATAGTTGGAAAGGTGAACTGACATTTGACCTTGTTTTCAAAAATGTCTTCTTTTAATGTTTTACTGGGTGCCCACCTTGGCCCCACCCCAGTGAGTGATGTCAGAGTACCTCTGACTAAACATGACCTGATGTTAGTGAAGGTGTCAGGAATAGTTTTACTTCTGTAACCTTGTTATCATTTCTATAGAATTACAGTATCTATAAATCAAATGAAAAAGCGAAACAGTGTGTCTCGTATGTTTGTTTTTTGTTGCCATTTTTGTTTTTTTTAACCCTTTTTAGCAATTTCACACATTCATCACTTTAGAATACAACAAACTTTTAAAAAAATCAAAAAGTCAATCACAGATTATTTTCATCTGAAAGTTGACCGTTTGAATCTTACCCAGAGCAAGACTCATAATACAGTATAAATTCTAAAACAAAACCACCAAGTGCAGAGCCTAAATCGATGACATATGTAAGTAGCTACAGTTCTGTATCAGATTTATGGAAGAACTGACCCTGATTCAGTCATTATGTGTTTTGAACTTTTGCTAAAAAGATACTGCATGATGGCAATGTATGTATATGGTAAGGTACTTATGATTTCTAGAACTACAGCACACAGTGTAAACCCTGGAGAGAAGGCAAATTTGTCTATTGAGTAGCTTCATAGCATTGAGAAGAGAATGATTTACTATATGAGGCAACTTTAATAATGTCAAAATATTCTGCTATAAATGATTTAAATTCTGTGTTCAAATATTTTGAACATTTGCAGAATCATGCAGAGTCATGCCTAAAAGCAAAAAGAAGGTAGAAAGATGAGGCATTAAGTGGTCGATGTTTGTACAGGGGGACCGGAGGAATTAGTTGGAGGAGAGGAACTGAGGGAGGACAGCTTGTTTTACATCTTCTTTGTGAGTCACAGGGAACAATTTCAGCCAGAGACTCCCATGAAGAGATGATTATATCATGGCAGTTCTCTTCTGGACTCCTGCTAAGAAATAGAACACAAAATTAGCCACAACAGAAAGTCAACCTCAGTACAAACGTACAGAAAGTTCCCACTCATGCAACAGTGGATCGTGACTGGTTACTGCCACCATCAGTGACATGTTACTGGGTTCAGGAGGACATTTAAATAGATGGGTAAATCAATAACTTGTTTCTGTTTTCGGGGTGTATAATTTTCTATTCTCTCAAATTCAGTGCTTTTGAGCATTTAGAATTTTCACTAAATCGTCCAGACTCACATTCAGAGCTCAAATAAAATATGACAAAGCCATAAACTACTATAAGGAAGCAGGAGGTGTAAATAAAGCATGCACAAGCAGGAATCACAAGTGTGGTGTTAGGTATTTGGTGGGCCAATATTACAGCTATGGAGGGAAAAAAAGAATTGGCTCCATTTTGCTGCAGGACATTGACCACAGATTTGAAACATAGTCTAACAAAGCTTGTGTGCAGTAGCTGATACAGTCACAGCTCTCAGGTTTGTTACATGCTGAGAGCCTTTTCAGGGCAATTTATTCCTTAATCTCCTTTTTCTATCTGTGCCATCATTTTGCCCCATATCTCTGCCAGGCTGGCCAGATGTGCATGACACAAATCTGACCTGCAGCCAATTTTATTCTAATCTCAGCTCTCAGTATAAGATGATTGGTTTTCTCACATGAGAGACTGGCCAATTTAAATTTCAGAGTTCATAATATCATAGAGAGAGTGTTGGATTTGTGAGACAGAGCCTAACCAGGGACAAAAGTAAATATTTCCTTCTACTCTATTTTATCAGGAGAATATAGACGATTACACCAAAGATCTGCACTGGGAAGTGTGACAGTTTATCAAACCAAATTTTAGAGCCAAACCAAGTAGAAAATGATTTTAAAAAATGTCTACACAATTATAGTGGCTCTACGGAATGCAGTTAGCAACCAGCATACCTCCAGTTGTAGAATGGACTTCCTTTCATTTTGAGTACTTAAGAACAGAAAAAAGAGACAAGTTCAGTGGTAGGTGTGACACTCAGACACTCAAAGTCGCTCTCAAAATAAACTCACATCATACACAAATGTCTCTCTTCTTCTCCTTATGCACCTGTGCAGTAATGCATATTCAAATTGTTTAATCTTTCAGAGCATCATTTGTTTCCATGTAGTCGGCAGGTCCAGCTGTACAAAAACAAACACCATCTGGAATAGCAGGTCTACCCTGATTACAGTCTAATGTGTGTAGCAGTGCTGCCAGAGACCCTGAGCACTGTGCATCTCACTTAGCATAGCAACACATCATGTCAATGGAGAGAACCCCTCCATGTGTGGGTGCCTTTGAAGTTCTCCCCCTTTTACACCTACTGGTTATGCTATGATTGTGTGTTATGCATCTGTAATAGATGACCTAAATACTACATAAAACATTGAACAGTGGCACATCTTCAGTTTGGGGGAGGTGGTGGGTTTTTGTTTGGCCTAATTATCCAATAAAAGTGCAGATTGTTCAATCTAGAAATATACAAAAATGGACATCAGCATTGCCATGTTCTTAACTGAGTTGTAACCAATTTCCCAGGTTTTTTTCTGTTGCTATTGAAAACAAGCAACTATATATATCAGTACTATATATATCTATACTACTCATACAGAGACCCAAGACAACAGTGGCTTGTTACTGTTGCCAAAGACAATGGTGAACCTGCTTGTTCTGCTATATGATATATATATATATCATACTATACATATCTGTGTGCTGTATGTCAAGAATAACTTGACCTAATGTTGAATTTTTACACCATCAACCTCCATGACACTTTGGCCAATCTTAGTCTTCCTTTGCATCAAAATTTTATATAGATTGCACAGAAAAATGCCATTGTATTGCAGTTTTAACTACTATATATATCATAGACTGTATATTAAGAGCTTTCTATACAGCTCAGTAGTTTAGTCCAGCAGTGCACGATCTGGGATTTGGGTGTTTTTGAGTAAACTGTCAATATGACAAGTAACTAGGAACTAGTGGAGAAAAAAGTACAATATTTCCCTCTGAAATGCAATTAAGCAAAAGCACATGTAGAACGTGGTATAAAATGAAAATAAGTATAGCAAAAGTACAGTATGTGACACTTGACACTGATAAACTGACTTTCTGACTTTGTATATATGACCTATTTAAAATGTATTTATAACTGTAAAATTGTGAAACAGTCAGTATACAAATGATTAGGAGCATTGCAAACTTGTCCCATAGAAAATACATGCTGGGCTTTCAGGGAATGAAATCACAATATCTAACTTTTTAAACTGCAGTAAATCCTTTTTCAGCTGCATCAAAATCTGGCCTTTAAAATAATTTACAACACTTGTTCATCAATCATGGCTGATGACACTAAATCCCAAACAAAACTAGGTGCTATTTCATTTATACATACCTCCAGTGTGGATGCTCTGGAGTCTGTGGGTTCACTTGGCTCTATGCTCCTGGGTATACTAGACACAAAATACCCAGCTCCTTTAGGAATTATGGGCTGTCTCACTACCACTTTGCCTTTCCTGGTCTCTGCGAGGAACAAACTGTACCAGTAGGCATCACTGGAGATCAGGGTGGAATCTGCAATGGTGGAGCTTCTCTGGCTGATCAAACTGTTCCTGTTGGCTGGGGGGATCTTGATGGCCTTTGGCTTTGGTTTTTGACACTTCAGTACAATAATAACTAAGATGGTAATCAGTAGTAGAAATGACACAGCCCCTAAACCGATTACTAAGTACAGGTTTAGGTCTGTGAAGACGTCATATTCTAGTGGCAGTTCTGTTGTCTCTGAAAAGGATATGACATGTTCCACTGTTGATATCTTGATGGTGACGGTAGCAGAACGAGCAGGTTCACCGTTGTCTTTGGCAACAATAACAAGCCGCTGTTGTCTTGGGTCTCTGTAACTGAACATCCTTGTTGTTCGGATTTCACCATTATACTGATCTAGACTGAAGAGGGTTGCATCAGTGATCTGCAGGAGCTGGTATGTGACCCTGGCGTTCTGCTCAGAATCGGCATCAATAGCAATCACTTTGGCCACCAAGTGGCCCTTATCTGTGGACCTTGGTATCACCTCTTCCACAACAGAGCCCTGTGCCCGCCAAGGTGACACTATAAGAGGAGTGTTGTCATTTTGGTCCAAAATGATGATGTGAACTGTCACATTGCTGCTCAGCGGGGGAACACCAGAGTCTCTAGCCTCAATGTGGAAAAGGAAATCCCTCTCTCTTTCATAGTCAAATGTCTTCAGGGCATAAAGATCACCATTCTCAGGGTTGATGGAGAACAGCATTGACATAGATGTGTTAACAATCTCCTTCTCCATTATGAAATAAACCAGGTACTGGTTCTCATTTAGATCTGGGTCAAATGCACTCAGAGATGTCAATAGTGCCCCTGGTAAATTATTCTCCATAACATGGATTGTGTAGAAAGACTGGGAGAATGTGGGTGCATTGTCATTGACATCCAGAATCTCTAAATTGATGATCTCGTTTTCAGATAAGGGCGGCGAACCTTTGTCTGTGACTCTCAGTGTGATGTCATATTTACTTATTACCTCCCTGTCCAGTGGCTTTGAAACTAATAGCTCAAAGTAACCCTCTGAGGATTTGTTTAAGAGGAATGGTAAAGATTCTTGCTGATTCAAGGTGAGCTCCACTTGCCCATTGTCTCCAGAGTCCATGTCACTGACACTAACCACTGCAATCAGTGTCCCTACAGCCACATCCTCAGCCAGTGCACTTTTCAGGGACTTGATGGTCACCTCAGGGTAGTTATCATTCAGGTCTGTGATGAACACCATCACTTTACAGTGTCCTGACAGTGGGTTCGCCCCTCTGTCCTGAGCCTGTACGTGCAGCTCAAAACTCTGACTCTCTTCATAATCGATCACCCCCTTCACCTTGATTTCACCTGAGTTTGGATCAAGTGAGAAGAGCTCTTGTGCCTTCTCTGAGGTGTATAGTGTGTATGAGTATATTAACTGAGCGTTGGAGCCTTCATCCAAGTCTGATGCATTTAAGGTCATGACCACTGTACCTGCAGCCGAGTTCTCGGAAACATTGACTGCAAATAGGGGCTGACTGAAGAGGGGGGCGTTGTCATTGATATCCAGGACATTAATAACGATGCTGGCTGTGCCGGAGCGGGGAGGCACCCCTCCATCCACAGCGGTTAAAATCAAATTATGAACTGCATGGTCCTCTCGGTCCAAAATACCACTGAGCACTAAATCGACATATTTGGATCCATCGCTTCCAGTTTGTATATCTATGTTAAAGTACTTGCTTTCGCTGAGATAGTAGGTCTTGATTGAATTCGCCCCCACATCAGCATCCACGGCGTTTGTCAATGAAAATCTCTCACCGGGAGGGGTTGCCTCCGAAATGTCCAAGTGCATTGTCCTTCTGCGAAACAAAGGCGCGTTGTCGTTGATGTCCATGATTTCTAGTTCGATGTTAAAAATGCGAATGGGGTTTTCGAGTATGACATCCATTTTCAGAAAACACGAGGTTGTTTTAGTCATGCATATGCTTTCCCGGTCTATCTTCTGGCGGATTAGCAGCTCCCCTGTCTCTTTGTTGATGTCAAGATAATTTTTGCTGTGGATGACATCGAGCTTCGCTCTGCGCTGCACCAAACTGCGAACATCTAGACCCAAATCTGTGGCCAGATTGGCAACAAAGGAGCCCTCTTCCATCTCCTCTGGAATAGAGTACCGAGTGATGGAAAGCGCAAATCCCCATAGTGTAATGAATGTAAAAACAGCCACGATCAACCGTGTTCGTAAAAGTGCAACGATAAGCGCCATCGTTAAGGTATTTTAGAGACAGAAATGAATCAGATCCGCCCTTACGCTCAGGTTGTCTTGATGAAGGGTAGTGGTGTCATTCTTTCCTCCACGAGTTGTAGCTGGAGCTGCAGCAGGCCATCTACAGTACAGTACCGCTGGAGGAGCTGGCATTCACAGCATTGCTCTGCAGAGGCGTACGCAGCATCGGAGGTGACCTCAATGAGATTAAGGGGTGCCCATATGGAAAGTCTGGCACCAGAATTTTCACAACAGAGAAAATATTTATTTGTTTATAATTAGAAAATCTTCATTGGCCATTCTCGGGATAATTTGTAAAGTTGCGTTTAAATTAATGTTTACAGTTTTTTGCTGTTGCTAACAAGCATTAACCAATACTTAAAATACTTTTTCTAAACTCTTAACACAGCAACACAGTTACATCACACACCTGGCCAAATGGTTCATTTTTGGACCAAAACCACATTTTGTTAAATAAATACAAACTTTACATTTCACAATGCAAAATACCATTTTCTACATATACTAACTTTATCAAAACACAGCAAACCTGACTCATAATTGAGTCGTTTGATCAAAACATTAGCACTAGTTTTCTATCCAACAGGAACATATAGTCAGTCATAGCGCACAGACTGTCAAAATGTAAAAAAGTAATCACTTTACAAAAATGACATTACTTCTCATTGAACTGTATACAATATGAAAACCATCTTTGATATCCAAAAATGTAGAAATACAGTAATTCAGTCAACCTTACTGTAAACACACTAAAATTGTGTGTGTGGATAAATTTCATATAGTATATGTACAGTGGAGCCATCAGTACTTTATGGATTATAAAAAAAAGGGCAGAATTGCTGCAGTAAAGGCTTTACGGTATTGGCATTTGCACATTGCTATCAGTAATCACAGAAAAAAGCACTTTGCCCTGTGTTTACAACAATAGACAAAAATAAAACAAAATGACAGACCAAAAAGTCCTAATCTACACGATCATCAGCATTTGGCCACATGTTCTCATCAACATCACACCTTATAATGTCTCTTGCTATGCACCTTGGAAAGAAACGTTTAGAATGCCTTATCCACCCCTGGCAATCTTCAGCTGAGATGTCTCTGCAGCCAGCCTCCATTGCATCCAGAAGGGACATTTGATCATGTGGTCGATGATCATAGACTTTCCACCTCCACGCAGACAAAAATTCTTCATTGGGGTTGAGGAATGGAGAGTATGGAGGAAGAAAAAGTGAAATCATTCTCGGATGGGCTGCAAATCAATTTGTGACTGCTTGTGAATGGTGGAATGCTACGTTGTCCCATGCAATAACAAATATTGTCATGTTTCCTCCCACTTGTTCCCTTTCTGCTTCTGGCACCAGTTGTTGATGAAGGTCATCTAAAAACAAAAGAAGGCGCTCTGTGTTGTAGGGACCTATCTGGCTTTTCTGCAGGACCAAACCAGCACTTGAGATTGCAGCGCACATTGTGATATTTGCTCCTCTCTGACAAATTGGAACCAGCTGTTTCCCAAGTAGAACAATAATTCTTATCAGCTCTTTGAGCTGTTGTGGCAAAAGTAGAGGCTTTACATTATATTTAAAGTTTGGATCATTAGGTCTTCAATTCTGTCATGATGTGTTTAAGCATTTGTTAAAGATATTTGAAAGATCCATTATTTTGCTACGGGGTAAGCTTGTGTGAAAAGAAAATGTAAGCATTTTAGAAACGTGTGCATTAACTAAATCTTGTGTGAAAACGACATTAATTGTATTAATGGTATGGTCACAACAAACAGATGTTGTGATAATTGTGTTTAGAGTTTTGAAAATGTGAATACAGAATGGACAAATGGATGTTAGCAACTGCAAAAAACTGTAAATAATTAATGAAAGCTATATAATATTAGGCTACTGAAGGAACTCCTATGTCAGAAGCCTAGTCAGCATGTCATTAAACGGTTCAATCTCTGCATACATTCTCAGAACAATCCATACAAGTATATTTCCAGAAACTAAAATTGCTAATGCAATTATCCCTTTTATTTTATTTTGCATTTCATTTACAGTCTTTTTCTAAATTTATTAAGATACACTGGAGGATGGATTTGCATTTCTAATCTCATCAAAAAGACAGGCACAGAGTTTTTAAATTGTTGCTGTTTTACAGTTTTTCTGAATTGCTAAAACACGTTTCTTGAAACCACCACTCATTTTCTCAAAACCTTAAACACAAACCAAATACTCAAACTAAATTCACAAAACTGACTTGTCTGGCAAAATCAACTAATTGCTTCAAAACCATGTCACCAGCACTCAAAACCAAACAATGCTTTCAGATCATACACAAATGAGTCAACCATATACACACTGCAGCTCAGTCATTAGACACTACATCAAAAAA